TTCTGTGGTAAGGCCTTGAAGAGTAGAGTAAGTGTTGAGAACTGTGAAGGGCCTGAGATTTTACCCTACTTGCAAATTAACAAGGTGGCGAGAGGAATATACAGGATTCCTGGGTCGGACACAAAGGACTTGGTTGCAGCATAGCAAGCTGATGAGCTTCAAGTCCATGTCAGTTCCCCTGGCTCCCAAGTCTCATGGGGGTAGCACAGAAACGCCCAGGTACATGCTGCACACTCAGTGCATTCGTGTCCCAGCGGAGGCATCCCCCAGGTTTCATGGAATGTAAGCACATCTGCCCAACTAACGTGAGAGGGAGACATTATCTTCATTTTCCCAGAGAGCAAACAAACCTGCTCTTTCCTCTGGAGGGAGACACCTTCTTTCCCAAGGCACTTCACGGAGAGATACTCTATTTTCCAAGGCGTACATCCTTAAAAAGATAGTCTGACGTCGTTTAGTTTCTCTGCTCACAACATATTCAGAAATGAGAAGCTCATGGAGCACTGTATTCCAACAAGCAGTTCCAGTTTTCCTCATACGCCTGCTGGGTATCTATCTCTGAATGGCAGCTAACGTCCCCAGAGCATCAGCTGCATTTGTCAAGCCAGCATTTAAGGCCCAGTTTAGGAACACATCTTTTCCCCATAGTATTTCCTTTTTTTAACGGTATGTTTAATGTATGTGCACATGAGCATATCTAGGAAGATGATCATCAGAATACCAAGTGTTACCTAAGTGGCAGATCATTTTTTCTGCCTTTTTTATACTTGTTAATGCTTTAGGTTTCTTACAATAGCCATGTATGTCTATAATCAGACAAAGCAACAAAGTTGTTTGAAAAAGAAAAACAACAGACCACCATGAAAAGTCTTATGTTAATGATCATTGTTCCTTTTTTAATAGCTTCATATTCTTGCCTGAAAGAATAGTTTTATTTTTTATTAAAGGAAAACATCTTTTTTTTTTTAATATGGTGATTATGTTGCAGAAAACCCTGTCAGAGGTGGAAAGAGAGCTGAAAAATTCTGCGCCGGCATCTAAGACTCACACCAAGGGGAAAAGGATGGTTATTCAGGAAGTAGAAAACTCAGAAGATGAAAATGGAAAAGAAAGCGAAAGAAAACATGAAGATGGCAGTAGAGATAAGAGTAAAACATTTTTTCTCTTTTGGTTATGTAAAATACTACGTTTTTATATGACGAGTTAGTCTATCAAACTTTTTATAGCTTTACCTTATAAATCCACAAGCAGGTTTTTCCTTAATCTTTTTCTTAATATAGCTCATTTTTCTTTTTCCTTTATTTATTTTTTTATATATATTTTTAAAAAATTGATTTCAGAGAGGAACAGTGAGGGAGAGAGAGAGAGAAATAGCAATGATGAGAGAGAATCATTGATTGGCTGCCTTCTGCATGCCCCCTATTGGGGATTGAGCTCGCAACCCAGGCATGTGCCCTTGACCAGAATTGAGCCTGGGACACTTCAGTCCGCAGGCCAATGCTCTATCCACTGAGCCAAACTGACTAGGGCTCATCTTTTTCTTAATATAATCTCCCAAACTCGTTTTTCTTCTTAACCTGACACTGTTTTCTAATGCTCAGTTTAATTCCTGACTATCTTTTTTTAAAATTGATTTCAGAGAGGAAGGGAGAGGGAGAGAGAGAGAGAGAGAAACATCAATGATGAGAAAGAATCATTGATCGGCTGCCCTCTTCTGGGGATCAAGCCTACAACCCGGCCATGTGCCTTGACTGGGAATTGAGCCGTGATCTCCTGGTTCGTAGGTCGATGTTCAACCACTGAGCCACACTGGCCAGGCTATCATCTTTTTAAAAATATATATATTTTCATTAATTTGTAAAAGAGAGGGTAAGGAAGAGGGAGAGATAGAAACATCAATAATGAGAGCGAATCATCATTTGGCTGCCTCCTGCACGTCCTCTACTGGGGATCAAACCTGAAACCTGGGCATGTGCCCTGGTCAGGAATCATTTCTGATTTTGTCATTCATGGCCCCAAATTATTTTGTAGATTATGGAATATATAAAAATATGTAAGATTCAGAAGACAAAAGTTTCTTGATAAGAAGAATATAAATTTTAAGACCAGTTAGTTCCCTTTTATCAGGAAAGCAAATCAAGATTAAGTGGAATAGTCCTAGCCGGTTTGGCTCAGTGGCTAGCTAGACCATCACCCTGCGGACTGAAGGGTCCCGGGTTGGATTCTGGACAGGGCATATGCCCAGTTTTTGGGCTCGATCTCCAGTAGGGGGCGTGCAGGAGGCAGCTGATTAATGACTCTCATCATTGATGTCTCTCTCCCCCTCCCTTCTTCTCTGAAATCAATAAAAGTATATTAAAAAAAAAGATTAGGTGGAATAAAAAGTTGGAAGCCATTTTAAAGTCATCCTTTTAAGACAAAATAAAATGATTGGAACTATCTTATGCTTGCTTCTACCAACTTTTATTGTTAGATGGCTTGTAAAAAGAGATCTTGGAGCCTTGGACAAGACAGGAGAAATCCAAGTCACTATTAGGAAAATAATGTTAAAGTCCGGAGGAGATTATCGAGTTGGAATCTTTGAGGGTGGCTTCCCATTCCACCACATTCCAAGAAAGAATTGTTAGTCATTATGTGGCAGGCGGCGGGAACAGCAGCGGGTGTCTGACCAGGGGGGTCAGGCCAACCTGAATTCAGCAGCCTCGGTACTTGGGTTCTGGCTAGAAAAGAATTCAGAGCCAAGAGAACATTTATTTGTTAAATCACAGAGGTAGAGAAAGTAATTCCTAGAAGAGATGGGCTTAGGAAGGCAAGTTATGGAGGCAAAGGAAGGGCCCTTGGGGCCTGGGGCAGGGAGGAGGAAGGAAAAGGGAAGGCACCTGTATGCTCTCTGGAGGGAGAGCGCACTGGGTCCTCCATCCTAAGGGCTTTAGGGTGGAGACTTTAGGGCAGGTCCCAGGGGAAGGTTTGACTAGCATGGTCAGCAGCTTTCCAGGTGTGTCCTTCAGAGTCGTGGTCTCCACTGATTGATTGTGGCACCAGGGCAGGGGGGCTTTATTCAAAGCAGCTGGTTTTGTTGCTTCTCTGGGCCTGGAGCTGAAATACAACTGAGGCCTAGATGTCATCTCTAGAGGGGAAAGGTCAGGGGTTCCAAACCCAGTGACCACTGATACACTTGGGGAGGAAAAGTCACCATGGGGGCGAGGTCCCACCCTACCATTGAGTGTCTGTTACTAGGCACCTGGGGCTATCTGCCCTGGTGACCTTCTGACCTAGCCCATGGTCCTGGCCCTACTCGTGTCCAACTGCCCACCGTAGATAATACCACATTTTCTTTATCCATTCCTCAGGTGGCTGCTATGAATATTCAGGTTTATGTGTGTGGACATGTTTTTGATTTTCTTGGGTATAGGAGTGAAATGCTTGAGTTATATGGTAACTCTGTGTTTAACTTCTTGAGGAACTGCCAGACTGGTTTCAAAAGTGGCTATAGCATTTTATATTCCCAGTGGCCATGTCTGAGGCTTCCAATTTCTCTACATTCTTGCAAACACTTGCTACTGTGAAGTGGTAATTCCTCACGGTTTCAATTTGCATTTCTCTAATAACTTATTGTGTTAACCACTTTTTCATGTGTTCATAAGCCATTTGTATATCTTTTTGGATAAATGTTATTCAAGTCCTTTTGCCATTTTACAGTTAGATTACTTGCCTTTTGATTGTTGCACTAGAGGCCCAGTGCACGAAATCTGTGCATGGGTGGGATTCCCTAGGCCTGGCTAGCAATCAGGGCCTATTGGGGCCAAGCTGGCCAGGGCCTGCCAGCTGCCGGCTGGGGCCTAGGGACCTGCTGGCTGCTGGACGGGGCCAGAGGGATGGGGGAGGCACAGGGGTGGGGGAGCTTGGCTGGCTGTGGGAGGTTGACTGTGGGAGCGCACTGACCACCAGGGGGCAGCTCCTGTGTTGAGCGTCTGCCCCCTTGTGGTCAGTGCGCATCATAGTGACTAGTGGACCGGTCGTTCTGATCATTCGATCGTAATGGTTGCTTAGGCTTGTATATATATAGATTGTAAGTCTTTACATATTTAAATAGTAGACCCTTATCAGATAATAATTTGCATATTATTTCTTCCATCCAGTGGGTGGTCTTTTTACTTTCTTGATTACATCTTTTGCTGCACAAAAGTTTTACATTTTGATGAAGTCCAATATGTTTTTCTTTTGTGCTTGAGCCTTTCGTATCATATATAAAATCATTGTTAAATCCAAGGTCATGTAGATTTATCCCTAAGTTTTTTTTCTAAGAGTTTTATGATTTAGCTCATATTTTGGACATTGATTTATTTTGATTCATTGTGGTAGGGAGGAGTCCAACTTAACCTTTGCTTTTTTTTTTTTTAACATGTGGAAATTCAGTTTTCCCATCATCACTTTTTAGAGACTATTCTTGACACTTTTGTCAAAAATCAATTGGCCGTGGATGTATGGGCTTATTACTGGACCCTCAGTTCTATTCCATTGGTCTATCTGTCTGTCTTTATGCTGGGACCACTCTGGATGGTTTTTGTTGTTAATCCTCACCCAACGATATTTTTTCCAGTGATTTTTATCATAGAGAGTCGCAGGGAAGGATGGAGCGGGGAGGAGAGAGAGAAAAAATAACACATCGATGAGAAAGAGACCCATTGATTGCCTCCCTCACTCACCAGGGATGGAATCTGCAACCCTACTGTGCCCAGGCTGATGCTCTAACCACTGAGAAATACTGGCCAGGGCAGCACCAATGTTTTGACTACTGTAGCTTTTAGTAAGTTTTGAAATCAGAAGTATGAGTCCTACCTGGCTGGTGTGCCTCAGCGGTTGACCCAGGAACCAAGAGGTCACTGGTTCTATTCCTGGTCAGGGCACATGCCTGGGTTGCAGGCTTGATTCCCAGTAGGAGGCAGCCAATCAATGATGTTCCTCTCTCTCATCGATGTTTCTCTCTCTCTATCCCTCTCCCTTCCTCTCTCTAAAAATCAATAAAAACATATTTTTTAGAAAAAGAAGTATGAGTCCTTTGATTTTGTTCTTTTTCAAAAATATTTTGGCTACTTTGGAATTCCATATTAAATTGAAGATCAGTTTTTCTATTTCTGCAAAAAAGTCTATGGAATTTTGATAGGGATTATGTTGAATCTGTAGTTCACTTTGGTTAGTATTGATATCTTAACAACATGAAATCTCCCTATCTATGATCAAGAAATATCTTTCCAGCCCTAGCTGGTTTGGCTCAGTAGATAGAATGTCAGCCTGTGGACTGAAGGGTCCCGGGTTTGATTCTGGTCAAGGGCACATGCCTGGGTTGCGAGCTCAATCCCCAGTAGGGGCGTGCAGGAGGCAGCCAATCAATGATTCTCTCTCATCATTGGTGTTTCTATCTCTTTCTCCCTCTTTCCTCTCTGAGTTCAATAAAAATATATTTAAAGAAAAAGAAAATAAATATCTTTTCACCCTAGCCAGTTTGGCTCAGTGAATTGAGCATTGGCCCGTGGATTGAAGGGTCGTGGGTTCAATTGTGGTTAAGGGCATGTACCTCGATTACAGGCTCAATCCCTGGGCCTGTTCCAATCAATGTGTCTCTCTTACATTGCTGTTTCTCTCTGTCTCTCCCCATCCCTTTCACTCTCTCTAAAAAAAGTCATTGGAAAATATCCTTGAGTGAGGATTAAGAACAACAACAAAAGACGTTTTTTAAAAAAGAAATATCTTTCCACTTAATTAATTTCTACTGTTGAACTACTCTTCTATTCCTGAGATAAATCCCACTGATCGTGGCATATAATCCTTTTAATATGCTATTGGATTTGGTTTGCTTGGATTTTGTTGAGGATTTCTGCATCTACCAACTACCCGAACTACCCTCTAAGGCTACTGAAATCCTGGTGGTCTTTAGTTCTATTGGTTCTCTTCAGTCCTTCTGCAAATGACACTGTTGGCCATTACTTCCTTGGATGTTTATTGCTGACTCCTTTCTCCCTGAAGTACTCATTCTTCTTGGTATGCCCTCCTGGCTTTTCCCCCCTCATTTTTAGGCACTCCTCCATCTCCATTGTAGATTTTTCCTGTGACCATCTTTTAAGACTTGATCTGAATGACTCAGTCCACATTCAAACTTCAGTGATTCTTTATATGCCAGCAACTCCCATGTCAGTGTCTCTAGATAAGGCCACTCCTCTGGTCCACATTCGGAGTCACCTCCTGAGCGAGTCTTCTGGAATGTCCTACAGGTAGTGCAGCACCTAACAGGACTCACAGGACTTTCATGTTCTGGCCTCTGTTTACCTTTACAGAGGCTGGCCAGGGTGTTCAGGGACATTCCATCTTAAGGAAAGAGGTACGGCAGGGCATTCAGCTCAATTCATTTGAATCCCAGTTACGCGCTCTGTGCTTGAGCAAATGCCTTAGCTACTTTCTTGTGTCTCTTGATTGTAAAGCGGGGATGATATTACTTGGTCTGAAAATTAATGGTAATGTATGTGAAGGCCTTGGCCCATATAAAGTTCTAAACAAACTGCAGCTATTTAGTAATAGTATCGGTCAGACATGGGAGGATAGCATACCAGGGAATGGACAATCGTACTAAGCTGTCCATTGTTACTGCTGACACTGACCTGTGCTCCCATCCGTTTCTGTTCTGTCTGGGTGGGGACTTCAGCAGCAGATATGAGCTAAAGATGGGAGCCTTGCTTTCATAATCCTACTGTTATGGGGGAGAGGGAGAGACCTCGGTTCTTGCCTTCTTGAGGGAAAGATTTCAAGAGACAAAGTGCAGAAAAGCAAGCAAGAGTATATTGACCTCAGCAAAAATAAACTTAGGAGCGTGAAACAAAGAAGGGCATAGAAGCAGCAACAGGAGAGCCTACGCTGGGCCGCCTTAGCTCACTGGGAAGTCAGAGGACAGGGGAGCCGTGGTGACAGGTTCAGGGGTGAGCCCCAGACCAGCTGCTGCTGCCCATTGCTCCCCTGGTTGCTGGTCTCACCGAGTCCCTTAGAGGTTGGGGGATACGTGCATACATGCGGGAGGTGGGGGGGGAGCGGAAGGGGAAGGGAAGGGCAGGGGCATGCTCCCTGGGAGAGTGCACTAGCATCTTCATTTTCAGGGGTTTTATTTTATTTTAAATATTTGTATTGCTTTCAGAGAGGAAGGGAGAGATAGAAATATCAAGGATAAGAGAGAATCACTGATCAGCTGCCTCCTGCGCGCCCCACACTGGGGATCCAGCCCGCAACCCAGGCACGTGCCCTGATGGGGAATCGGACCTTGACCTCCAGGTTCCTGGGTTGACCCTCAACCACTGAGCCACGCCTGCCTGGCGCAAACCATTTACTCCTAAGTGTCCTTGGTTTAGGGAAAATAGGGTTTACTAGGTTGTTGCAAACTGCTGTTAAACTGTCTCAGTTCCCCTATTTTGGAATTTTTCTAGCTTCTTACTCTTCTATAACATGACTGGGTCCCATCTGGGGTTAAGCACTATTATATGATTTTTTGAAAAATCATTGTAATGGAAAACTCTCAATTTTTAAAAACAAATTGTTGATTGATTTTAGAGAGGGGAAGAAAGAGAGAGAGGACATGATTTTGTTCCAGCTATTCATGCATTCATTGGTTGCTTCTTTTGTATGTGCCCTGACTGGGGATGGAATCCACCTCTAATCCAACTGAGCTACCCGGCCAGGGCTGAAAATTTACCGTCTTTTAAAGACACACTTTAAAATCGAGGTGCTTATTTGATATGATTTCTTTGCTACGTTCGCTTTAAAGTGACTTACAAATCCCTTGGGCTTTATTTTTCTGTCAAGTGATCTTTATCTCCTAGTTCTTTAACGTAAGGAAAGGTACCCTAGCCCTGGGTGCAATTATTGTATTCAACTTTTAGTACCTGGAAGAAAAGCGCCAGTTTTGTAAGATCTACCTTTGCCTGTGAGCTCTGATGAAGGGAATGACTCAGAAATGCTGGTTTGCAAGTCAGAAGCCCTTCCGTGTTTAAAGAGTTAAATACGGATCTTTATCTCCTAGTTCTTTAACGTAAGGAAAGGTACCCTAGCCCTGGGTGCAATTATTGTATTCAACTTTTAGTACCTGGAAGAAAAGCGCCAGTTTTGTAAGATCTACCTTTGCCTGTGAGCTCTGATGAAGGGAATGACTCAGAAATGCTGGTTTGCAAGTCAGAAGCCCTTCCGTGTTTAAAGAGTTAAATACGGGCTGGGCTGCCGTCCACAGC